TCTGCCTCAGAGATGAGGAGAAGAAGATGGGGACCCTTGTTAAAGAAGATTTTGGCCGTCCAAACAGGGAAAATACAATGGTCAGTACTTGTTGAAAGTACTGACTAAAATAGGTTGTATAGTTTCCATCTGGAATTTGAATTCATCCTTTTTTTTTTTGCAGGGCATGCGGCATGGGTCGTATGACAAGTTGGATGACGATGGTCTTGCACCTCCTGTGAGTAATCCCACTGTGGTTATACTTTTTTCGGTCCTTCAGATCTCTTTCCATTGTTCTTCGTATTTATCTTTTATGCATCAGGGTACACGCGTCTCTGGTGAAGATGTCATAATTGGAAAGACATCCCCAATTCCTCAAGATGATGCTCAAGGACAAGCTTCAAGATACTCTAGGCGAGATCACAGTACAAGCTTACGCCACAGTGAAAGTGGAATGGTGGATCAGGTAGACTTGTTGTTGCCAAAGTTGTGTTTCTTTTCTTTTACCATCTCCTATGACCTGATTCTTGAATTGGGGTCCTGTTTCCTGTAGATGCTTTCAAATGTAGTTCACAACATGCTGATCTTACTTGTGGTCCTTATGCAATTTGTCATCTTGTTGTTTCAGGTCTTGTTGACTACAAATGCTGATGGTCTGAGATTCGTAAAAGTAAGAATGAGATCCGTTCGGATTCCTCAAATTGGAGATAAATTTAGCAGTAGACATGGCCAGAAGGGAACTGTTGGCATGACTTACACCCAAGAGGATATGCCGTGGACTGTGGAAGGCATCACACCTGATATTATTGTTAATCCACATGCTATTCCTTCTCGAATGACCATTGGCCAGCTCATTGAATGTATTATGGGGAAGGTTGCTGCTCATATGGGAAAAGAGGGAGATGCTACTCCTTTTACTGATGTTACCGTAAGTTTAACACTTAAAGCTCCTTTCGTGATGGTATAAAATGATGTACTCTACCTCGAACTAGTAATTGGAACATGTTGATTTTTAACTTCTCAGTTTGCATTGGTTTATGACTAGCTATGAGGATGGTTTCAATATTAAGTGGCTCTGTAGGTTTCAGTTTAGTCGTTCAAGTCCTGTGTTTTTAGTTTTTCTGGTTCCATTTTAGATTTTACATCCTTGGAAAGCTTCCTATTTGCCTAATAGCTTGGTAAAGCTGCCATCATTTGTGCCGTGCCAAAAGAAAAGTCAGCTTTGTAACATAAAAATTTACTGAGAAGGCTGACTTGTAACATGTTTGGTCTACATTTGAATACCCATGTGGATGAAATTGATGAGTTTGCTAACATCATATGTTGATAGCTTCTTATGCTTTCATATATACATTTGTAGCATGGCAGTTGAATATATTCCTTATTGGATGACTAATGAATCCTCACCATACAAAGAAAAACTGTAGACATTGTGGACTTTCTATCCTGAAATGCTTAGGATAGTTGGAAATCTAAACGCTAACCCTGATTTATAATCTTTACTCCTTTCATGACCTATTTTGTTAACATGTATGTCTTTCAGGTGAAGGGGGCCATCATAATTTCTGTGATCAAACTGCAATCTGTTAATGTTCTATTTTCTGGCTGTTTTTGCAAATGCAGTGCTGAATACCTATGAGATGGAATTTCCATTTAAATAAACTTTCTTCTCACTGGTTGTTTTAGCATGCGGTTATTCCAATTTCAGAGTAGATGGACTCAAATTCCAATTGTTTCAGGTGGACAACATCAGCAAAGCTCTCCATAAGTGTGGATATCAAATGCGTGGGTTTGAAACTATGTACAATGGTCACACTGGTCGTAGATTGAGTGCAATGATATTCCTTGGTCCAACTTATTACCAGAGATTAAAGCATATGGTTGATGACAAGATCCATTCTCGGGGACGTGGCCCTGTACAGATCCTTACCAGACAGCCAGCAGAAGGAAGGTCTCGTGATGGAGGTCTGCGCTTTGGAGAGATGGAGAGAGATTGCATGATTGCTCATGGTGCTGCTCATTTCCTCAAGGAAAGGCTATTTGACCAAAGTGATGCTTACAGGGTTCATGTTTGCGAAAAATGTGGTCTCATTGCTATTGCTAACCTCAAGAAGAATTCATTTGAGTGTAGGGGCTGCAAAAACAAGACTGATATTGTTCAGGTAATTCTTTCTTTGTGCTATTCATTTTGCTTAGGGAGCGTGAGCCTCATTTTGTCCTAACTACATCCCAGTTTTAACATTCATGTTTGGCTGAAGGTTGCAACTCCAAAAGGTTGTGGCAAATGAAAACTAACTAGATAAATAGGGGAACAGTTGTTGCATTCAAACAACAGAGTTGTACTTGCATGTTGTAATACATACTCCTACGTGAAATCCTACTTTATTTGCCATTAGATAAGAAAAATTGCGTGCAATATCTGAAGGATGATGTCTAAGCTTTTTCACAAACTTTGCGCATAGAGTCCAAAGCCATTGTTAGATATACTGGGGGTCTTGGCATATCTTGGAATTGGGTTCATCGTTTTTGCTGTTATTATCTTTAGAGAAACTTTTGGTTAGCAATTTTTCCTTGTGAACTTTCCTATGAAAGTATGCTAACTGTCTATTATATGGTTGCAGGTATATATCTTTAGCGAAGCTTTTGGTTAGCAATTTTTCCTTGTGAATATTCCTATGGAAGTATGCTAACTGTCTATTATATGGTTGCAGGTTCATATTCCTTATGCATGCAAGCTGCTATTCCAAGAGCTAATGGCCATGGCAATCGCGCCAAGGATGCTGACTAAGGAAGTGAAACCAACCAAAGACCAAAAGAAGAAAGGCACTTAACGAAGATGCAGGGGCAGAAATTTCCATGTGATGCATGATACAAATTTTTTACCTGCAGTTGTTTGCATAAAGTATGTTCTCTTATTTCTTATGTCTCTCAAGAAGCTAATGGTCTAATAAATTGGTTGGAGAGTCCCTTGGATGTTCAGCCCTTTTTCTGCTTCTGAAGATGCTGGAGGAAGGATATGATTAGGCTTGTTCGCGAGTGTTGCAGTTTTGTGGCCTTCAGATCTTTTGTATAGCGATGGAAATTTACGATCCCCTTCCGTTCGTGAGGAAGGGGATGATGGGGTTAACTTTCTTGTGATGTAGAGCAGCACATAATGATACCGTTCTGGGAAGAAGAAGATCATGCTATGTGTTGTAATGACTTGTGGGATTTTGTTCTTTGTAGATCACTTGCATGCTACAAAATCTAGCATGAATAGAACTATTTAGTATTAATATTGGAGCTGTTAGAAGATCATAGTTTGGATATTATGAAATATTTCCAAATTGTATAAAATCCGTACTCATGCAAAACAGTCACATTTCTCGCTGAAACACCAGATGTATTTTATTAACACGACAGTTGTATTTGTCCGACGTTACTTGCGGTCCTTGTACAATTACATTTCTTGCTGAAACAATTATATTTCCAAGTTCAGAACAGGCTCTCCGAAATTGACACCAGATGTATTTTCTATATATAAGCACGCTGGGTTATTTCAAAAAACAGACGACCCTCCAAATATTCTCCTCTTGACATTCGAGCAGGAGAGCTCCGACGAAGTCAACGGAAGTCTGGAAGCACAACTCCCGTCGAGAGGCGGGTCACATGTCGGGAATCCTCGGCTCGTCCCCCTCGAGAGGCGGGTCACATGTCGGGAATCCTCGGCTCGTCCCCCTCGATCTACGTCGCCCTCGATCTACGTCGCGGTCGACGCAGGATTCCCCGGGTTCCTGTACCGCACCCTGCATATCAGAGGAGGGTCGGCACGTACGGGTACATGCAGGGGCGTAGCCAGGGCAGTCTTGCCCTGGGCAGCTGCCCAGGGCAAGAAACTGCCCCACTTCCCCTCCCCCTCCCGCCTCCCCTCGCTTCCCTTCTTCTCCGGCCACTTCACCTCCCTCTCCCGCAGATCCAACCTCCTCTCCCTCCTCTTCCAGGACCTCCATCTCAACAATTCCCAACCCTCCTCCCTCTCCCGCGCCTCCCTCCTCTCCCTCACCGAGCTCCTCTCCCTCCTCCGTCGCTTCAAGTCCCTCACCGCCGACCACCTTTATTTTTCGCCCAGGGCAAAAAATATTTCTGGCTACGCCACTGGGTACATGCAAATGAACGTGAGCGCACGACGAAGATTATATATCCAGCTGATGGAGCTCGCCGGGGTATTTGCAGTTTTACAGTATTTCTTTTCGGAATTTAGTCAGGCCGAATTTTTAATTTTCGATTTTAACCGAAATTTATCGGAAACCCTACCAACTTAAATGGGGTCATCGAGATAATTAGTCCCTCACGTCCTAAGGGGTCTTGAAATTTGGATCCTCGGTGACCAAAACACCCACAGCTAGTGCATTTCTAGACGAGAGCGGCTCGGCTTTGAGGGAAAACGTTGGGTATTCTCGTCATCAAGGGTTAAATTGCAAGAGTCTTTTCATTTGAGGAACTTATGAGCAATTTCAAAAGATTGAGGGAGTAATATGATACTATTAAAGATTCGAGGGGCTAATACTAAATAACCCACTAAAGTTTCCTTCCACTTGTCAGAAGGGGATATAAACTCCCTCAATTTTCTTTTACCTCGGTTATTAACGGTGCAAAAAACAGAAACAAGGTCAACCCTAGCTAGTTTTTTTAATCGAACCCCACCGTTTCCTTTTGGGATCCGGATCCTCTCCTAATAAAAACTTTCCTAATATTTCCTAATGAGTTAATCTTAGCCGTCCGTTTTACATCTACGGTCAAGATTCCTTCCTTCACCAATTTTTCTCTGTTCTTCTCCCATTCACTCACAGATCTCTCTCTTTCTCAACTCCCTCCTCTCTCCCCTCACTCCTCCAGCCCCAAGCTCCGACCACCGCCGTCGCCTCCATCAGATCCGCCACCACCAACCGCTTACTCCTCTTCCCCTTCAACCCGCCTCCTCGCCACCGCCTCTCTCTCCTCGTCATCTCGCCGTCGCCGTCCTTCTCTCTCCTTCACAATCCCGGCGACTCCCTCTCCAAGCTCTCCCCCCTCTCCGACAACACCCACCTCTTCTACGTCGCCCTGGCCCACCGCGGCTCCGAGTCCGGCAACATCCCCGCCAACTCCTCCATGTCGATTTTCTTGAAAGAGTTGGCGATTACAGGGATTGATGATCGGAGATATTGGAATTATATTCCAACTGAGGAATCTAGGTATTGGTTTCGCCCTTTCATAATCTTATTAATCATCAAAGTTTGATTTTAATTGGATTTTCCAAGAATTTAATTGCATGCTTGATGCCTTAGTTCTTGTGCAATAGATTGTGAATAATCACTTGGCCATGTTTATTTCATTTTGCTTGGACTCTTGAAATTTTTATATTATTTGAAAATTTTGGATAGAAAATGGTGATCTTGTCTTAAAATATGCATTTTTTTTTGTTAAATTGCGTTGTAGGTGTGTGTGATATGAAGATTATCCTCAAAACTTCACACCTTATTAATCTCTATACAGGTGTGATATTGATTGCTTAATTTCTCAAAACTTCATCGCCCGAATCCGAGTATATGTGTTTGAACATAGTTATCTCTGGAACTTAAATATTTCATAAATGATGGCCATCGACTTATTTGATCATTTTGACTCATAATTTGTATTTTGGCGTCTGTCTATCGCATACTAAAAGCTAATATTTTGTTATGCACAGTAGCATGATACATTCATCTAAAAGTAGCAGAAGTTCGATGCGTTTATATCGTCACTTCAGATTTGCTTCTTCATGAACAAGCAATCAACGCTTCTTAGAAACAAGTTCCTCGTTCAAGTTCTGATTGAATATGGTCGCGATCAGTCTCTCGTTGAATTTGTTGATCATTTTTAATAGTTATTGATTAAACTCTAAACTTTATATCCGTTTTTGAGGTTTACTTTAGAGCTTAGCCCGTCGTGATGACATGTTGTTTGTAGTTTGCCTTGAATTATCCAAATGTTTATCATCCTCAAATTTTTGCATGCAGTGTTCTAATGGACATACTATATGCTCCGGCTGCAAACCTAGGGTACACAACTGTTGTCCCGCATGCAGACATGAACTTGGCAACATTAGATGTCTTGCTCTCGAAAAGATAGCTGCTTCTCTTGAACTGCCTTGTAAAATACACATGGGTATATTGGCGGATATGAAGAAGGAGAACGAGTACAAAAGAGCTGGTTGGTGTTATACACATTTGTTGGTGTATTTCATGTTGTATGGACTTGTCAATGTATTTCTTAGTTTATTTAATCTTGTATGGACTTGTTGATGTATTGTTATATTTGTTGGTTTGTATGATGTTGTATGGACCTATCATGTATTTTGTGAAGTATGTATTTTGTGTTGGTTAGTTATTTTTAATAAAACTATGTCACGATTATATACAGGAACCTTTATCAAAGAGGGGAGGTTTTGCCAAATTTTTTTGAAATTTCATCAGGATTTGTGAGACCAAATTTTTGTTCCATTTGAGTAGTATGGTGTTTTTTCACCTATTATTAGCAATTACTCAACTAGGAATATATGATTATGCCTATGACGCCGCTGAGCCCGACGAAGCCCTCTACATGCGATGCTGAACTGTAATCACCTCCCTACATTTAAACATTATCTACCAAGTTGCATAATACTGATATCAACCAGAAACTAAAGGACCACAACACTCCTGTCGTTGAATAGTTTTTGTTCTCGCATTTGGAAGATTATTACTGCAGAAAATTAACAAGAGAGGAATAAAAATAAAGTGCACATTGCATGTATGATAGAAGTATAAAGAATCAAATAATACATAAGATATAAACGCATTACAACAATCAAGAGAAACGATTTCCGAACATTCTCCTACTTATTCAAAGTGTTAACAGGATATTCAACAGCCCATGAGCCACTACAAATCTTTTTCCTCTCTACACATGATTAACATGCAAAACATGTACAAAATCAAACATATCTGTAGTATTCTACACAAATCAAACATATCGAAGCCAAAGCCTCCACGGCTGCTTCCTTTTCCTCCGACCCTTTTGCTTCCACCATCCTCACAAGCTTAGGAATTGCGTTTACAATCTCTTTTCTTGACTTTGAATTGAGCTCAGTAATGGCCCTTGCTGCCTCTATACTTGTACATGGGTTTGAACTATCCAATTCTAGAATTACTCTTATCAATAGTTCAGATGATTGAATGATTTCTCAATAACCCAATCGCCGGCTGTGAATTTCGATCACCTTCCATGTAATCCATCATACAATCTAAAACCCCTTCTTTAAAAATAGCAAGTTTGATCGAGTAATCATCATCAATCCCTGCAGCCAAATTACACAAACAACCCATCGAATTCTCTTGAGCAATCACAGTCCCAGACTTCAAACCCCTAATCAACACAGGAACCACATTCTCTTCTAGAAAACTCTGCCTGAGTTCTTGAACTCCGGCGAGATTCCTCAAGTCTCCGGCAGCAACCACGACCGCAGAAGGCGTCCCCGACCTGCAAATTTCGAGGAGAGAAGGGATTCCGCCTCTCGAACTGATAAAGGTCGCATTCTCTTTAACCAAAGTTAGGTCTTTAGGGCAACACAAGCACTCTCCTTGCTGAATCCACTCTCGGACTCCAAAACCCTAGCCAGCTGATTCAAGATCGTCGATGACGAGAGGGAGGCGGTGGCGAGGAGGCAGGTTGAGGAGGAGGAGGAGCAGGCGGATGGTGGTGTCGGATCTGATGGAGGCGACGGCGGTGGTCGGAGCTTGGGGCTGGAGGAGTGAGGGGAGAGAGGAGGGAGTTGAAGGGAGGAAGAGAGAGATCTGTGAGTGAATGGGAGAAGAAGAGAGAAAAATCGGTGAATGGAGGAATCTTGGCCGTAGATGTAAAACGGACGGCCAAGATTAACTCATTAGGAAATATTAGGAAAGTTTTTATTAGGAGAGGATCCGGATCCGTAACTACTAACTAGACTCTCTTCAGATGGGACTGGACAAGCTAGGAATTACTACTAAAATATGGGCTACAACTCTTGATTTCTTGTATTTTTTGGGATGACAAACGTCATCTTTCTCCTATAACGGAGAAAGTATCACATGGATTTCCATCTATAGCAATAAATGTGGATTGAATGTATACTTTTTTCTTGGAAGAGAAAGTATTCCGTAGAAACTGATCATGACATGATATATATATCTAGAGTATATTGGTCTATTGTGGTTGGAGATTCTCTCTAATTATAGATTTCTTTACTATCACCTATTTAATGTTTGAGTTAATAATTAACATTATAGAAATTAAAACATCATTGCCTTGATCTTTGTGCTCAATGTACATGAACGCACAAAATTGTTTGATTAATAAAATTTAAAAATGTGTCACCCTATTAATTAGGAAATGTGCATAATTGCAAGAATAGTGATAAATGTACACAAGAGTTATATTGTTTTTATATTGCTAAACACAAAAAAAGTGCAATCTTTTTTTATAAATTGAAACAGGACGTTATGAGTCGCAATGGACCCCTTTTTTTGTGTCTATTGAGTACAAGAGTAATATAACTCTTATAGTACACTTATCATTTTTCTAATTGCAATATCTGCGTTTGGGAACTAAGATTTGGATTTGGAATGTTGATTTAAAATCAAAGGATTTTAAATCTAGGATTTAAAATCAATGATTTGATAGAATCTTTTGTTTGGGTATCTTTACAAAATGCAAGGATTTGAAATCAAAGATTTAGAATATAGTGTTTGGATACACTTTATTATACATGAACTTGGATTTCAGAATTTGTGTTTTAAGAAAATTTATGTTTTTTCTTAACTCCTCAACCTTTATGCGGACATTAAGGTTTATGTTGAGGTAAAAGTTAGAATAAATTTCACAAAACCCCCTGAGAAGTTTGACAAAATACCTTTAAATTTTCCAGTAACTTATTTATTAATAAATTTTCTACAATGATATCCAATATATGAATCATTATTATCTTCAAATCATCACCATTTAATTTCATAACAAAAGGAAAACAATGTTACCATCAGCTGGATCCCAGAATATCAATTCCAATATATGTATGTCACGGGAAAACAAAAACCACCAATACAAATATGGACCCATATTTAAAAAAAACTCCCTTTTTTTTCAATAATAATAACATGAAACTACTACTCCTCACTGACACCTGAAGAAAAATCTAGATATTACACAATGGCATTGGCTGCACTAGCAATCCTAGGCCACAAATCAGCACACTCCTTTCCAATTGGTCCAGTAATTACAGATCCTGAAGAAGCAGAAAACATAGATTGATATAATATTAAATAAAGAAGCAAAAACAAATTTATGCATTATAGTTTTCACTACAAACAACAATGCATGTACAAAATAGAGTCTGATGCTGAGATAGTTAAAAAAAGGATAATCCATGGGAAAAGGGTGTAGACATACCTTTCATTTCCCCCTTTGGGTTGACAATAACCCCAACATTATGTGCATCACAAGCAAGTAAGTATAAACATGTCAGAACAGACCAAGATATAAATCATAAACAAACCTTATAAGTGACATAGTTCAACACTTAGGAGGAAATAACGCTCAATTAATTATAAAGACAAATGTCCTTAATGCTAATATATTAAACCAACCGCATAGATATCCAATGAAACACAAGAAGTCCAGTAACTCATAAAAGCAAATTTCGATATTACAGCAAAATGAAGCAAACAATGATATAACAACAAAATGAAAGCTGGATGGCTAGATTTTGCTAGTTTAGATGAAAAGGGGAGCTTCTTTATTTGAGTTGAGTCTATCTGTGCACTATAATATTGGAAGTTTAATTAGATTTTTTAAATACTATTCTGCATGAAATGGAAATGAAACAAATCTGATTACAGGATAAATTTGAAAACTCAAAAATGCGCGGTACATAAAATTTTCACATGATAGTATGCTACGGTAACTTTAGATGATGCAGATTTATCTACCTGCAGGGCAAAATCCGACGAGATAATCCTTCCTTCCTCTAGTCAAAGAATTGGTGGAAGCTCAATGCACCTAACAAGGGTTTTACTGTTGAGGAGCTCTGTGAGGTGCCCAAGGAGATGCCAATGATCACTGAGTGAACCACAATGCCTAGTTCCAAAACCTGCACACAGTCCAATTTGGTTCAGAATCAGATGAAAAGGGGGTTATTTTCATAATTAGGACATGCCCACTACCTGTTAGTTAAATGTCATGATTATATTCCACTTTTCTTGGAAAATCCACTCACTGATGACAAAAACCTTGTTGCCAATAACAAATCAAGTTATTTCCGATGGAGCTAGCCATTTTGAGCTATGCCAACAATAAATTTAACAAAAGGTAAAAGTTTTTCAGAATATAAAAAAGGGCCAGGAGTGGGCCAAGACAAACTGCATCAAGGCAGTTAAAAAAAAGGCATTATAGTGTTTAGAAGAACCAAAGTATTGGGGAACGCTACTTGATCAAAAAAATTATCACGTCTATATACCCCAAAGTTTTGATATGAAATATGTACATTAGGGTTTTCTTTGTAACTGATACGATAGTCATTAACGCAAAGCTGTTTATGACAAGTGACAACTATTTCTTGAACAAAACTTAACATAGAAATTATCGAGAAATTTAGTAAATGTGCAAGAGTAATAAGCTCAAACCATGGACGTGCAAATTTAAGTCACAGAAGAACTAGAGCTACGTTCTCTCAACAAGGATCCTTTCTACACCAAGCCTTCAAGATTTGCTAGCATACATATTCACGAACAACATTGAACAACATTGTCAGAAGCATGCAATTTACTTGACCAAAATACAAACAAAGTGATTGTGTTCAAAAAAATATAGCTAATGCTGACTATTGTTTAGACTATCAATGAAGGATTTGTTTGTTATTGAGGCTTTTATTGTGCTAACGTTGACAATAGCCCTGAGTTGATGATGGCTACATTTAACATTGCTCTTACACACATTACAAGTGCTTTCTCAAATTAATGTCGTAGAAAGAAAAACTAAATAGTAAATGCTATACAAGCAATAAATGCAGTTTACTACCTTATGCCTTTTTTTCCTTTTATTGCAAACCCTTAGAAAAATTATTGCTCATGACTGCACTGATATATCATACTCAACAATAAATAAAGTAACTTGTAATAACAAATCATGAAGAATTCTACCAAGCCAAATTGAGTATTATCTAAACATTGTCAGTTTATATACTAACTCATTGTCAGTTTGGAGTAAATGCATACATTTGGGCCACTTTGAGCCCCATATTTAGACTACAAATTAAATTTGTCAATAGAGTGTACATTATCGAGTCACATTTAGTTCAGATACTTGCAAAACTAATTACAAAGCTCTATTGTCAAAATGCACTAGAAAAGATGCATGATACAATATTGCTATCAACATTATTTGGTCATTGAAATGGAGATGTCCAGTCTGATAAAACCTAAAATCTACCTTAAAAACATAGCGGAGTTCAACACTAACAAGTGCTTGAAATGGTCATTGAGGATCCTCTCATGATCATTGTTTTTGCATTAGCTAATAAAACCCATCATTGGACTGCCATATCTCTTCCATCCTTCAATTCTATTTGTAAATATTTCCAATGCCTAATGGCAACAGCGTGCGCCCTCATAAAACTCTGAAAACTGTAAGACCTTAGGATTCCAACTAATTGTTAATTTGGAGTAATGATATCAGACACTATTATTGTAAGAACAATGCCTTCTTCGAGAATGTAGATAACTATAAGGTCTATAACTTTAAACTTGTCTACTATTTGGATGGATGGGTCTTTGTCTTAAGGTGTGTTGGATGCAATATCATTCTTTTAAGGTGGATGCGTATAGAAATCAGACTACTCACTAGAATGATCAAGCCCTCTTGACTATCTCCCTTTTACCTTACAACACATCGACCATGAAGCATCAACGAGACAACGACCAAGTTCAAACATTTTTCTTGAAATTTCTTCTTGCCCACAGTCTTAGAAATGAAAATGCCAGTAAAGGTGCATGATTTAATAGTGATGCTTCTTAAAAATGAAAACTTTGACATAATTCTCCACTAATACAACAAAAAGACTGGTCAAATTTAACAAATCTAACACTGCATAACCCTAACAGCTCAAATTTTAACCAAAAAAGAGGAATTATTCCATATTCAATCCCGGATCTAATGAAACAACTGCTCAATCCAAACAAATTTAAAGCTCGAAATCAAGATCCCAGCATCGGATCAAGCAAATTAGGGTTAAAGCTCAGCGTACCTTGTGATCGGACTACAAAGCGAACGCATCGACGAGGAAGAGGGAGCACACGACGAGGGGGAGAGATCAGATCTAGGGTTTCGATGGAACGAGGAGAGAGGAGAAAGGGGGAGATCTAAACCCTAGATCGGGTTTCGACGAGAGATGGGAAGGGGAGAGAGAGGAGAGATAGAGGTAGAGGTTACCTGTGTTGCGTTGAGATAGAACTTAGAGAGTCGGGATCGAGGGGAATAAGAAATGAGAGAGAGGAGTCGGGATCGGGATTTGGTAAATAACAAGGGCCAGTGTAGGATTTGAAATATCTGTATTTGGGATTTCAATTTCTCCTCTCTTAAATAATTTGATTTGAAATCTTAGCTTAATTGAAACTCCAAACTAGATATTTGGATTTGAAATACCCTGGATTTTAAATCCAGGGTCCAAATCCAAGTTCCCAAACGCAGCCTAAAAGTATATTGATTGTTCTTGCACGTCTCTTGAAGAAGAGAGTTCCCAGTTGGTATTCTCTCATTCTATCATTGTGCTTCTATGTGTGTAACCAACTAGCCATAGGAGGTTACATATCATGAGTACTAGTGGATGAGTTTGCATAGCCTTTTTTTTTAATAATTTATAACCTAGTCTGAAATTGAACTCAAGAGACTGTCAGAGATATATTAAAACTTCCCACTATTTAGATCACCAGCGGTGATTGAGTATGCATAGCTAAATGTAGAAATCAGAACTTTGAAGCAAGACATATAGAAGCAAAGAACCTACTTCTTTGTAAAAGAGTAAGATAATGATGAAGATATTTAATTGAAAGACAACCCGTACAACTTTTTGAGGCCAACTTGGTATAATAAACTAGCGTCAACTAGTTGTTATAAGATCTTGTTGTGTTGTACTATTTGAATTTGGTCTAAACCAACATTAAACTCGTGAATAAAAAGTGTGCCAAAAGTTGGTGTGTTAGAAATAAAGGGAGGCGGCAAAAGGAAAAAAACAAAAACAAAAACAAAAATAAAAGATGCTTCTTATATTAAACAAAATATTAAGCCCATGAGCTCTTTTTTTTTTGGGATGAAATTAAGCCCATGCACTTAATGTGTTTGTCATGCATAAACATGCATGACTGGTCTATTTTCGAAAATGTTTTAATACTTTTAAACGTATGCGGTGGCCATTTTACATATGCATGAGATAGTAACATGGTACAAGTGGTTATTGATGAAAACAACAGTTGATCCCATATTACTTAAATAACGAGAAGATAATCACAATCAAGGGGAGAAAAAATAAAATAAAATAAAAACAAATAATCAAAAGCGGTGGTGGCCATGCTGCCTATGTTTGATTGATCTCAGATCTTCGTCTCCCACAGAAGATGTAAAAGAATCAACAACAGCTTGGAGCCATAAGGTCAAACTTTTCCAAACAGAACCTCAAAATGCTTCTTCAACAAGTTCAGGTGCCAATTACATCTAAAATTTTGGGTCAAAAGATTATGGCTCTAGCCAACATGTTTTACAAGTCTTCTAAACTACCAATTTTGCTCTTCTTTCCTCCCTCCTCCCTGAACTATTTTTAGTCCCTGCATGCTCTCTAAACTATTAAACTCAACTCATCTTTACTGCTCAAACTATTTTTTGTCCAATCAAACTATTAAATCCGTCTTCGTTTATTCTATGAACTATCATTTTAACTACTTAATTACCAGTTTCCATTTATTACTGTTGTGCATGTTCTAAATGAATTTATACAGA